GAGCTCAAAAGGTTCGCCATCACTGGTCTAGGATGTGAGAAGACGCTTCACCGCTAACCAGCTCTCACACACCATTTCCAAATGTTTCCATTAGTTTCCAATGATGTGTTCAGGTTTCCACTGCACCACAGGTACATCTTAGTAAAGCATCCGTGAAGGCCCCCTTTTGTACTCATCTCACCTGTCTTCCACGAGGGTCCCATGGCCTTGAAGGGTCCCATTCCAACTCAGCTTTCTCAGAGGTGTCTCTGTGACGAGAGATTCTAGGTCCCTTTCAGGTGATTGGCTCTATGGGGATTTCCCAGGATGTTTAATTCTGTGGTCTGAGAGCAGACATGGTATGATTTCTCTTCTGTTAAATTTGTTAAGGTGGTCCTGGCCGGCTGCTCAGTGGTTAGACCGTTGGTCCTTGGACTGAAGGGTCGCAGTTCGATTCCCAGTCAAGGGCACATACCTGGGTTGTGGGTTTGATCCCCACCCCCGGTAGGGATGAGTGCGGGAGGCAACCAGTTAATGTGTTTCACATTGATGTTTCTCTCTCTCTCTCTCTCTCTCTCTCTTTCTCCTCTTCCTCTCTCTCTGGAAAAAACACACACAAAAAACAAAGGAAAAAATATCCTCTGGTGAGGGTTAACAACAATTTGTTAATGTGTGTTGTATGGCTGGAATGTGGTAGATGTTGGGGGATGTTTCAGTGAGTTTGCTGCTGTTGGAGAAGTCGTCTGTGGATGTTTGGTTCTGAGGTTTGCTCTGTCTCTGCATCTGGGGCTTCCTGCCTGTTGGTTAGAGCGTCGGCCTGTGGATTCAAGGGTCCCAGGTTTGATTCCGGTCAAGGCCATGTACCTTGGTTGCGGGCACATCCCCAGTAGGGGGTGTGCAGGAGGCAGCTGATGGGTGTTTCTCTCTCATCGATGTTTCTAACTCTCTATCCCTCTCCTTCCTCTCTGTAAAAAAATCAATAAAATATATTTTTTAAAAAACCAAAACCCAGCAGAGGCTCCGGCTCACCAGCTCCTCCTGCAAGAGGCCATTAGGAACAGAGGCTCTGGGTTTTCAGCGTAGTCTCTCTCCCTCCTGCCACCGGAAGCGGGAGGGATTCCCCGGATATGGACTGTGGGGACCTGGCTGAGCTCTTGGAGGTAAATCTCACAATAGGGTGGGGGCCCCCCACCCCTGGTCCCCCCTGGAGTTTCTAACGCCGAGTTGTTGGCCCTGAGCCTCAGCAGGGCGTCCGGTGTTCCTACTCCAGGTTTCGGCTCTCGTCTCCGGTGAGTGTCCGCTCTGGGAAGCCGGGGTTCCCTGTATTTGTCTGTCTGTCCCTCCAGCCTCTGAGCGGCAGCTTGTCCTTGTCTTACTCTCTCACAAATCCAAGGAGAGCTGTTGATTTTTTCAGTCTGTTCTGCTTTTGCTGATTGGTAGGAGGGAGTGGCATCGGCCGCGCTTCTCTGCTCAGCTGGAAACCGGATCTCCACGATTTCATGTTCATTCAGTTCCAAAGACTTTCCGTTTCCTTCACTCCTGCTTTGACCCAGTGGCCAGCTGCAGGAGGTTGGCTGTGGGAGAACACTGACCACCAAGGGGTAGCTCCTGCGTTGAGTGTCTGCCCCCTGGTGGTCAGAGCATGTCATAGCGACCGGTCGACCAGTTGTTCAGCCATTCGGTCACTGGGTCACTTAGGCATATATATATATTTGACTATATTTCCTATGCTGTAATTTACATTCCCACCCATTGGTTATTTAGAAGTGTTTGTTTTTCACATATTTTTTTTGGGGGGGGGTTTCCAGATATGTTGCTGTTGTTATTGGTTTTAAATTTGATTCCATTGTGGTCTGAGAATGTATTTTGCATGGTTTGAGTTGTTTTAAGTGTATCAAATTTTGTTTTGTGACTCAGAATGTGATCTAGCTTGGAAAATGTTATACATGCACTTAAAATGTGTATGCGGCTGTTATTGGGGGAAATGTTTTATGTTAATTGGTCAAGTTGGT